ACCAGCACAAGAGCCGCCGAAACAAGGCGCGCCTCCACATCCTTGGATGCCTCAATGTCCAAGGGGTCCAGCTCGAAGATCTTGGCCTGCGGAGAACGGCGCTTCCTACGAAGCAGAATGGTGGATACTGCCGGGTTGGCTTGGGTGTTTTGAACCTGCCGCCACGAAAGACAAAACAAAGTGGAAACTGCATCAGTGCGGGGCACACGCTTACAAGTCTCTGCATGCAGACTAGAGCTTTAAGAATCCCGCGCCCAAATCAGCATTTCCCTTGCAGAGGCCACTGTGCTGCCAATCATGACGGATCCGGGCGCCACGACGTCCCTGCGACAAGGATCTGAAACAACGCAGAGCCTGTGGCACATCCTCGAAGACAGTGTTGCCCCCGCAGTGCCGGTCCACGGTCATGATCAACCTGAGGAAACAGGCCCGGACAAAGCAATCTATAAACTATTACAGTAAGTGGCTTGAGGCTTTGTGTTTTGTGTGAAACAAGTGTCTTTGAGGTGCTTCTCTTGCGCGAATTCAACAACGTGTTTTCAGACATTTGCCCCAAGTCCCCAAACACTTCTTGCCTTGCACAAAAGATGGAAACGCACTTCCCGGCACGTCTGGGAGAAAGAGGAGGTGATCAGTGCAAAGCCCTCAGCCGGATTTTCCACGGATTCCTTCCCTCGCCTTTCTTTGTCAAATTCTCGGATCGTACCCCTTCTAGAACTCCTTGCAACTGCTCCCCGCCGCTTAGTGTCAACTTCCGATTGGTCCGGAGGCTCATCAGGTGTGGCTCCCTTGGCGAAACATGGCGTAACTCGGCGAAACTTGGCGAAACTTGGCGTAACTTAGTGACATTGGCGAAGCCTGGCGTAACTTGGTGAAGCTTGGCCTCTCTTGGCCTCTCCGAAAAAGAAAGAAGTGTGTTTCTTCTTCTTTTTTCTCGAAACAAGTGTTTTCCGTTGCGATTCTGGCGAAAAAATAGTGTTCTGCACCAGTGAAAATCGACTTCTTGCGAAACTCGGCGAAACTTGGCGTGACTTGGCGAAACTTGGCCGAAACTCGGCGAAACTTAGCGAAACTCGGCGAGATTTGGCGCAAGTTGGCGTAAAAAGGCGTAACTTGACGTAACGCGCTCTCTGAAAGAAGGAAGAAGTTTCCTTGTTTCTTCCCGCAAAACAAGCGCAGTTCGTTGCGATCCTGGCGTAAAGCAAGTGTGCTGCACCAGTGAAAATCGCCTTCTTGCGAAACTCGGCGAAACTTGGCGTAACTTGGCGGAACTCGGCGGAACTCGGCGAAGCTTGGCGGAACTCGGCGGAACTTGGCGAAACTTGGCATCCCTCGCTGTCTTGCGTCACGTGTGTGGCATGCCATGCCGTGACGTTATGCCATGCCAGCGGGCTTGTGATGTCCGGCTTGGATCGCCCCTCCGGACTTCCCATGTGATCCAATCCTTGTACAGTAAAATGGATCTCATTCAGGGCTTCGCTGCATGCTAACATGACAATGAGCAAAAGGCCTAAACTGTTGTAAGGTCTAAACTGTTGTTGGTTTAGTGGAAGATTATCCATTAGTTTGAGAAAGGAGTAAGGGGCTAAGGCCCCACAAAAAGTACTTCATGTTAAACTGCTTTGGATTGTTTCAAGAAGTGGTTTTCACCTTTCCCACTCGCAAAGGTTGAAACACTTATTTTTTCTACTTTCCCTGAAATAAGTGAAACAGCCCGCCAAGCAACTTAACACAATAAACACAACAACACGTCCAAAACAAAACAAACTTAGGTAAGATGGTGATTGGCCAACGTGCCTGCTAATGTAAATACGTGGAATAGCCTACACTACAACACAGGAATTCTACTTGCAAACAATATAGCGTGTCCGGTTCCGTAGACACACATTTAAGCCATAGTCATGTTTTCTGGCACCAGACCCAGAGATACTCTTACGCCTGAAAGGTGCACGTCGCATGCGTAAAACCTATTGCACTTTGCTGAGAGACAACCCTTGATGGGACATGCTGGCTAACTTCAGCGTACGCTCAGCCCACTACAAGCCAAAAAGAAAACGACTGCTTTGCCCAAATGAGAAATCTGACAATCAAAACGTGTAACAGTGTAAAGCACCGTAGCAGTCTGCTTCAGAGACACGTTTCAAGACCAGTGATTTCATAGCAATAGCATGGGGCTTCCACTGCATTGGGGGTCCAAGTGTCTTGCACCAAAAACCAGTACTGTCCGGTGCCAAACAAATACAGAAAGACAACAAACACCATAAATTTACGTTGTGTAAGTCCAGTAAATGCATCAGAAGATGTAGCTGTATGCCAGGGATTCCATCAGCAACTCAGTTTCCCTTCTTGCCACGGGTGCCACAAGCAAGCAGAAGAGTTAGCAATCGGTGAACAGCAACTGGGGTGGTGCCATTCCGTTGCTTGACAACGTGCCGGATGAAACGTGGAAATGATTGACGATGTTCTGCCCCTCAAGCAGGGGGGTCCAAATGCTGCACCGAATACATGGCCATGGGTCAAAAGCCCGTACCCCCAGTGCATCCCAATCCCCACTAAAATAGACTGAAATGGGTGGTGCACCTACCCCAAAATGGTACCATTTGATTTTGACCCACAGCCACATTAGTTCAAACCTGAATGTGTCGCTAAATCCAGGCGTGGCCTGGCGAGTGCGGCGAAACTCTGTGACCCCGTGCTTTGCTGGCTTGCGCCTCAGCTCATAGAGCATGGCCTGGCGTGCCACAAGTGGTCGTTCCGTTTCACACGTGGCAAACAGCTAGATGCTGTGAGTCACCCGCCATTCTATGCTTTCACCAACTCACACTTCATACACCAAACATTGGCCAATCATCTGTCAGCATGTCCAGGGGTCATTGAAAAAAAATCATCTGTCAGCATGTCTAGGGGTGATAAAAACAAAACAAAAAGAACACCCATGACATCACAAAACAAACAGCCTCAAAAGCCAAAGGCTGGGCCTGGGCCCCGCTAAAGCCGTTGATCTTCTTGATCACCTCAGTCCGATGAGTCGTGCTTGTAATTTGATGCTAAAAGACTAAGGTGACCTTTCAACGTCCAAGAAGGCGGATCCAAGATTCTGGCCAGTAAAACCTTGGGCATACTGTGGGACGGACGAACTCGAATTCGCAATTTGCAGAACCGTGGTTGAAAAACCACGGTTTCTTCGTACTTACAGGGGGAATCGAATCCATCCGTTGGGTTTCTTGGGTGCTGCGAAACAAGAGGAGTTCGTAGCCAGGCGGGAAGAATTCCCACTGATGGAGTCAGAGCCTAGCCTTGAGGTGCGGGACTCTCGGGAGCAATAAGGGGCCCAGCGAGCGTCACCGGAAGGGGAAGCATGGAGAACGTGCTGGCCGCCCAAGCGCAAAAAATCCCGCCATCGGGTTCCTTGGAAGAGCTGATTGGAGGATTTTTGCCGGGTCTGGCGTAGGTTTTTGTTTCCCTTCTTTGCCCCATGGCTTGAAGCAAATAAGCCTGCTCGCATCAGGGTGAACGTTGGCCCTCAGGTGTTTGACCAGTTTTCTGTTGGATCCAAATCCCGAGGTCCTCTCCGGCCAAGGTGAAACAACACAGAAGATGAACAAGGAATATGCAGAGCAAACATAGAATCGTGCCAATGGCCAAAACTACCATAAGACATGGGCGGGAACTAACCAGATGTCAGCTGCGCGGAATGATGATACACACGTTCTGCTCGAAACCAGTTGAGTTGGACTGAATCTTGGCTGCACGTGTGTCAAATGGCTTTATCCAGTCGTCGAATCCGCTCCCGCCGTCAACCAAAGAAACATGCAGGCGACGGCAACATGAGCAAGGGAACAACTTCACCATTTGGGTGTGGGTCAAAATTAAACCACCAGGGGACCGCAGGTGTTAGTCCATGTTTCCTTCACCAGGGTTCTATTTTAGGTACCGATTTTTGACTCACACCCATGTGCGATTGCTAGCAGGAGTGGCCACTTGGTGTGAACCGCCAAGCCCTCCACCTACCCCCAGCCCAAAAAAAAATCGCCCACCGGATGGGCCCCGACGTCCCCCGGCTGCACGGCGAAGCTCATCTGGTATCCGTGCAGCTCAAAGAGCTCCTGGCAGAGTGCTGGCGGATCGAAGTACCCGTCCCAGGGGTGACATCCAAAAGGGCTCTGAATCCAACCACTAAAATGGGAAAAGGGGACACCCCCCAAATCAAAATCAAGCAGGGGTTTATGTATCCGGGGTTAACATTAACCGCGAAGCCCAACTGCGGCAACTTGATCAGCACCTGTCTTTGATCGCATAGACGTGGTTGCTTGCTTTCAGCGGCCATATGAATCAAATAGTCGAATGTGCCCATACGTATCATGCCCATGAACACATGCAGTACACATACATTTAGCTTATATGCATGTACATGCACAATGCATAGGAAAGAGAGAGAGAGAGAGCGAGAGGGAAGGAGAGAAAAGATCAAGAGAGAAAGACTGAACAAGAATATCCCGAAAGCAAGACACCACAAAGGCAGAAGGCCAGCAAGCACAGTACTAGAGCAAGAGAGCAAGAGAGCAAGGAAGAATAGAGCAAAAACGCCTCCTCTTGGAGGTCTTGTTCAGCTCTCCATGTTTGAGTACACCCCCATCCCCTTCTTTTTGAGCCGCAACCCATGGCCTTCGGCCTCTTGGAACCAGGCAGCCAGCCAACCAGCGACCAGCCAGCTCCTGCTTGTTGTTCCAGATGTCTGCAGAGGAGCCCGGGATTACCTACAGGCAGGGGCTATCCAACTGCGACTCCAGGGGAACAATGCGAATTCACCAATCCGACATGGTGAGGATCTACATAAACGGATAGTGGATCAGGCCACTGAATCTGTAAAGCCTTCAGTCGCCCAGAAACGCGTACTACAGTTGTGCCATGACACAGTGCGTGCCATCACACAGAGGATGTATGGAGAAACCCTGGATCCGTGTTCAGGCTGCAATGGCCTGTGTTTCCGGCCGCGTGACAAAACCAAAATGACGGCGCCGTCCGCCCAAGTAGTACAAGATGTGTTCCGGACTCCACAAACTCCTTGAATTGTGCTTGGCAGTGCGTAGAGCTCCTGCTACAGGCGTTCACCTGATGGCCGACCTCCATTTACCGCGAAACAGCAAGTCTTTTGTTGGCACAAACCAGCCAGCCAGTTGTTTTGGTACAGAAGAGACATGCACCAATTCCTTTCTTATTCGAACGGCTTTCCTGCCTTCCTCCATCGAGGCAACTTCATTGTATTGCAATGACAACACAACACAGATCTCTTGCGCAAGGCCCCACTGCACTACCACGAATGCGAAAACCCTGGTTGCGTGACAGGCGAGCCCTTTCGCAGTGAGGGTGGGATCCTATGAGAAGAAGAATCCTCGGAGCCCATAGCACCCGTGTCGCGGGTTTCCCACCAGCCATCCCCCTTTGGCCTTCTCGATCTGCAGCAGCTTCATGGAGGAATCTGCGGGCGTCACAACCAGCCCTTCGTGGCCCTCCACACAGACCTGGCGAAGCGTGGCATGGCGGCTGCCTCCGTCGGTGGGATTACGTTCCATGAGCCATCCTCAAGAAGTGCTTGGGCAGTGGTTGAGAAGTAGCTGTTCTGCTTAGCTCCGGGATCACTCTGGACATAGCAACTCAAGTGCCGGCAATCACCCACGCTCCAAATCTCGCAAATTTTCAACCATCAAGGCCATACTTGAGTTCACGCCTGACGTGTGTCATGCCCTTTCTTCGCCTGACAAGCGCCTTGCCAGAGAGGAGCTCGAAACCGGTTTCGCCGCGGTTTCGCCGCGGTTTCGCCGCGGTTTCGCCCCGCGCCTCCATGCGCAGCCACCGCTCCGTGCTCAGCAGGTCCCTGGGCCCAGAGCCTAGGCGAAGGGGCCGTTGGCGCGCCATCAGCGGCGGCTCCCGCGGGACTGACATGGCGCTGGTCAAGAAGATGTGCCCAAAATGGCTTGCCCTGTGGCAACATGGACCAAAACCTCTGGTCCCTTGGTGGGTCAATTTTGACCCACCACATGCTGAAGGGCCAAAACTCCAAACCTACGGCAAGCCGGGGCCAGAGGAAGCGGATGGCTCCGCGGAATGCGAGGGACCCCCTCGCATTTTGGGGCTTTCGTCCGGTTTTTGGGGCTTTCTGCCAGGCACAACGGTAGGGCAGAACACTTCGAATGCTAACAGGTTGACAAGCCACACCCCTTTCACAGATTCTGGCGTGACGTCCCCGGCAAGTTTGTAGAACGATGTGAACTTGAACCCATGAACAATGCATCGATAAAACCATGAAGCCAACATCCCAAGAAAGGGTGGGCCCTGTGTCAGCTTAGTGTTGCCCTCGGTACTAAGCCCATGTGGCGTTTGGGCAAGCGCCGTTCAGTGAGGCTGATCGCTCCTTGATCTCCGATGCTGCCTCGAATGCTTCTTGGTTGCACAGGCTGAACCTTCTGCTGCCTTCCACAGGTGCTGACTCCAGTGTGTGATCTTCCAAACTTGCACTTTGAACCGAACTTGGGGGTGGGGAGGGGGGGGAGGGTGAAGCCAAGCCGACGCCAACCGTTTCGCACAGCCCGGCCGCTCGAGGGCCGCACGCAGTGCCACTGGAACGGAGGCACCAGGCACAATCTGGCGCCAGGGGCGGGTTTGCACGAGCTCGCTGCGGGCGCACAACACAAACGTCTTCCCTCAGTCGCTTCGTGTTTCGCATGGTTCGTCATGCACCATGCAAAACATGGTCAACAAGGGTTCAAATCGACCTCGGAAAGCAGCGCAGCCAGATGGGCTTGTGCCTGACCCATTGCAAAGGGGCAGCCCAAAAGGGACTGAAAACCGGTTGTTGAGAATACCGTCGAAAGGCGAGAAACTGTTGGATTCGCCAGTGCTGCTTGAGAAGCATCCATTTTGTTAATGAGGGCTCAGGGTTCCAGCCTTCCCCTCCACACGGAGAGATATTGAGTAGAATCAGAGTGCAGAACTCCAAGTGGGGCGTGCACACACAGACATAGTTTAAGAAGCGAAAAAGGCTCTGCTGGGACACATGTACACGCCTATCCAGTGACGAGGACTCCCCCACACCAATCCCGCAGGCCTTTGCGGGGCAAGCGAAGCGGGGGCGCTGCTTCCAGTCATCGTCTTCGGGATCCTGCCGAACAAGCCCTCTCAGTGCATTTTGCAAAAATTGACAGGCCATTGTTATTGTACTGATTCCTTTGGAGGTACTGCTGGAGTGACAAACACATCTATGACAAAGCGTTTCATGCAAAGCATACCCGTTTCAAGCCTCTTTCCTCTTCATACGGAATCTGAGGAGCTCTTCCCGGTTGCGTTGACTCAGGATTAATAAACCCGTCCCATTATTAGGGGGGTGTTCCCTCCAAAAGTGATAAAACCCCACTAAAAGGGGACACCCCCCTATTTATCAACCAGGGGTTTATTAATCCGGCGTGAGCATTACCTCTGCCCCTAACATGTCCACAAGTCGGTCCAGGCCAAGCACTGCATCGCTCACTTTGGCCGCGGGGGCGATGGATACAGTCCTGGCTGAAAAAGCTCACGCGCACAATGTCTCCTCTGACAAAAGAATCTGTCATATATATATATATGTGTGCATGTGTATCTGATTCCGTGTCTGCAGAACTATATATATATATATAGAGATACATATTCCATATGCATGCTGTACACAACTGCTTCCTAGGCAAATTTGACTTCCTTCGACAACCCACACAAAGGGCACAGTTCATCGTCCAGCTCCCTCCAGATTTTATTTGTTCGTATTTCGGGGGAACATCCCTCCGATTATCACAGTGGACAAAGGACGAAGTGCACTAAGAATGACATGCAAAGATAGCCTTCCAAAGCCACGTCAGGGAGGGTCGCCAATCACGTCTCCTTGAACATGTTACGAGCGGTGCTTGTGGCAAGCTGACAATATAGACCAAAATAACTCCTGCTGATGTAGAATGTAGACTGCCATCATGTGGAATCTATGCATTCAAAGTGCAACATCATCGGCACTGTGCATGGAACTGACGCTTGTGTCCCAATCCTGAGCGACTTCCAGCACAAGTTCCGTGAGAACTGCTTGTCAGGAGGCTCAAGTTGCACTACTGCAATCATTTAAAACTCTGTTGTAAATTTTGGGAATTGGTTTGCTGCGAACCGGGCGACTGTTCGGGGCTAATTAGAGGGTTGGCCAGATTCTGCGGCGATGTGGGGGGGCAAATGTGAAAGCGGAGCAAATGTGAAAGCGGAGACGCTCTGGGATGTGGGGCTATTTGGGACGAGGATGCATGACATAGGTTGGAGAAGTGGTGGGGATAAGGGATGTGAGGCTTCGGGTGCATGGGAAAGATTCTAGGAGGCGAGCAAAGCTCGGTATGCATTCACCTGAAAGTGAGTGCAGATCCTCGTCAGCCACTAGACGCCACGCCGCTGTCTTCGAAGCAATGCCGCGCTTGCCAATCACACCCTTGTTCTTCCTCTCAAAACGGGTTACATTGAAACTAAGGCATCAAGAGTTCAGAAACAGACAGTTCAAAATCAGTGCAATCACGTCCTTGTTCTTCCTCTCAAAACGGGAATTAAAATGAAACCAAGGCATCAAACACGTTCCAACTTCCCAGAAAAGTTGCCCCGCCACCGGACACTCCGAAACCGATCCGAGCCACGGATCGTCGGTTCGGTTCACCGGGGCCTCGAGAGCTCGGAGAAGGCGGACCAGCCGTTGTCTGTGAGCATGGCCACACCTTGCGCGCGAGACTCTGGATGGTTCCTTTGGGGTTCCGGGAAAGCGGGAGGAGGGGGCGGGGGGGCGGGGGGAGATCAGAGAGTCAGATATTCCAAACCTCAAGAAACCAAAAAGGCACCCGGAAGGAGTTGGCAACTCCGAAGCCGCCTCAAAAAGATCGCAAGCCGGCCAGAAAAGTCTGGCAGAATCATGCCAACACTAATAATCACGCCAAATGCGCGGAAATGGTAACAGGACAGGACAGGACAGGACAGAACAGGACAGGACAGAAAGACGGACAGACAGACAGACAGACAGACAGACAGACAGACAGACAGACAGACAGACAGACAGACAGACAGACAGACAGACAGACAGACAGACAGAGAGAGAGAGGGACAAAGGGACAGAGACAAAGAAACAAACAGAGAGTCAGAAACACAGACAAACAAACAAAATATGACACACATAGTTGGACACGCGGCGTCATACGTCTGCCCAAAACTAACACCTCATCTGCCACTACTCTAGAAAAGATATGACTAAGAGGCTGCACAACGTTTGTGTGAAGCATTGCCTCAATTTGCCAGCTTGGCTCCAGCTAACAACAATGTACTCCACCCTTCATGTTCACAAAAGATCCAGTCTTCAAGCTCGAGTAGCGAGGCAACCTATACCGCTGACATGCTTGTTGCTACACAAGCTTCTCCTCTGCACTCTGCATCCGGACGCAAGCCATCCAAGACATCTGGACCCCCAAACATGACTGACATCCCCGGCCTTGCGACAGGCTCCTGATGCCATTTTGCTCAACTTCTAAGAAAACCTGCTCCATCTGCCCCGACAGCGTGCCAGCTCCCCTATTTCCCCACCATCCCCAGCATTCCTGCATTCGGGCAAAATGGCCTCTGGGAGTAGCCCCGGAAAGCGGACAGAGCGGGGACGCTTGCGATCAAGCGAGCGGGGTTCCTGCCAAGAAAACATCGCAAATGCTGTGTTGGTTGGCAATTCACGGGTTTTTGTGAGGCTGAGGGGGGATTGGCGGCCAAGACCCAGGGATGCAGAGATCAACAAGGAACCCTTTTGGGATGACAGTCAGCAGTCGGCATTCACCAGAAGTGGGACAGGCCTGACCTTTCTTGGGCCCCGGCACGCGGCATAGGGCCGGCCGTGGCCCAAGCCCTCCGACCTGGCACGGGAGCTGACCAGTGACTGGCTGACGGAACAAGCCCCGGCAACTCGCCAAGTTGCTCGAAGTTCTCAAGGCCAAAGTCTTCGAAGAAACGTAGCTCAAAGCAAGCCGTGAAAGGGCTCCTACATTTTCTGGAGTTCAGCTGCCTTGGCGGAAGCCAAGAAAACAGCACCGCTGTTCCACGTGCATCCACTTGACTGGCCAGGAGAAAACAAGCCTCGCCACGAACTTCCCATCTTACTCTCCCTCTCTCTCCCTCTCTCTCACTCTCTCTCTCTCTCTCTCTCTCTCTCTCTTTCTCTGTGTCTGTCACGGTCTTACCTGAGCTGGCTGACACCTGTTCTCCTCCCCTCACCCCCACCAGGGTACTCGGGATCTCCCGCTGTGTCAAAGAAACCTCACGCAAGTATGGCCCAAATACTGGAATCTCTGCAACACAAAACCAGTCGGCTAAGCCTTTGCCATCACTCTGCTTCCCCACCCGCACAACGCTTGCGGAATAACGGAATAAGCGATGCCAGCTGCACACGTAGATAGTGCACAGCTCCGGCTTGGCCACTGCAACGTCTGCGCCCTCTAGGGACAGCGACCTGCGTCACGGAGAAGCACGTACAGGAATTCTCTGCAATTAAACGTTTGACCGCAGGCAATACCGGTGCAGGAATCGCAAAAGACCTGCGTCTAAATATAGCTTTGTCTTGCCATCCTTGGCAAATCCAAAGTTTTAACAACAGCATGCCTGTTGGCCGAGTGTTGAAAAGTCCTCTGGCATCTCTTGGGTTTGATGCGCCAGTAAATTGAGGGCGAGGATGAAAGACGGGTGGAAGAAATGGAGTGGAGGAGGGGTGAAGAGGGGGTGGAAGAGGCGGGTAACGTGGAAGAGGGAGGTGGAAGACATAGGCCGAATACTGCCAAATGGAGAGTTGACTTCGGCTTCGAATCGCTGGGAATACCGGTTTAGTCTTAAGCAGCTAGCCTGTCAACATGCAAGTTGGGATCTGCATCGCGGCCGTTTCGGTCGATGTCTGGGAGCCTTGCACGCTAGGTTGGTGCCACGCGCTGAGCCTGGTTCAGCAAAAACCCTCAATGGGAGAATCATGGAGAATCGCATTTGAGATGCGGAGTCAAGCGTGCTCCGCAGGAAGCTCCGGATTCACAGAGCCGTGTTGGGGTGATTGTGCACCGGTTTCTGGGATTGCATTGTTGGATTTAGCTTGGTATAGCAATGGCTGCGGGGTTGGTCTGGAGATGGCCTGGCTTGAGCGGTTTAGTGATCCAAATGAATCTGTCCAAATTCCAAGACAATCCCTACCAACATTTTGAACCAAACCACCAAACCAAATCCAACCTAGCGCAATCGATGTCTTCACTGCACACCAACCTCATCTCAAAACAAGCTCGAAGCCAACCCGGCGCTGGCTACAAGATGCTAGCCCACGAATGTTCTGACTTCAAATCAGATCCGATGCCTCGCTGCAAAGGTCGTGCCATCAACGATGAGCCTAGAGGACGGCCCCATTGCCAAGTTTGTTTGTCTTCTGGGCGTTGACCGTGCGATTGGGTCTCAATTGTTGACCTGACCCAGCCTTCGCCCCAAAAGGAAGAGGGTGTGTGACCCAAGATGAGTCCTCTGTGTTCCTTTGCCCACAATCTCTCAGTTGACTTCAGCCCTTGGCAGGTGATGATTGGTCAGGCCAATGTCAAGAGAAAATGGCAAGCCACTTCTCACTGGCAGTTCACCAAGGCGTAGGCCAAATCTCATGGTCCACGTCCACAATGGCCACGGCCCATCCCCAGACCTGCCAGAAGCTCCTGTTGGGTTGGGATGGCGGACCACTGCAAACCGAACATCGGCCCAACTGGCCAAAGTCCATCGGTGATCTATTTGGCCATGGGTCAAAATCAAAAGCCAGTACCCCCAGTGAACATCCCAATCCAACCACTAAATAATAGACTAAATGGGGGGTGAATTCACCTACCAACCAAAATGGGGTACCAAAACGTTCTTGACCACCACAGCCATTTGGACCCCACAAGTGGGAAAGGCAGGGACATGAAACAGCACACGGCCCACTGCACCCCGGCGCCTGCTTGTAGGGCTCCATGCTCCCGGACGGGTGGTCCCAGGACACCACTAGAGCGCTCTGCGTGTCCCAGACCTCCAACAGATGTCTGCAATGGTCTGGAAGCCCGGGCTCCGAGCTTGGGGAAGCCAAGCCCAACACATTCAGGAGCCAGGCAAGTGCTGGAAAAGCATTTGCTCAACATGTGATTCCTATCCACAGGCAAACATGCCTACTTCCCCTGATTCCAAAGAAAGGAGCGGCTTTTGGAATGGTCTGTGCGTGGAATGCTCAAAAGTCCCTTCTGTAGGCCGTGCCCAACAGTTGATGTCCACCCAAAAAAAAAACAAATTCTGGCTAATGGGTGTTTTGCTGCAAAGCTGGCTTACTTTTCTGGCCAAGAGCATGTGCTTTTGTGCTTCCAAAATGACTAAAGAAGTGTGGTGATCTTTCCCTGCGTGCTTGGAAATGGAAAAGGGGTGAACAAAATGAAACACCCTACCACCCACTGCCGCAAAGAAATACCACTGCCAGGACCAAGGAAGCTGCATGGTTCTGGAAAACCATTCCCCAAGCAACATGGCATCCGACTCGCCATGCGATGGTTACCACGCCCAGCCGGCAAAAATGGCGCCTCAAGCCGCGGCCGGATGGGTTGCGCGGGGCGCGGAGTCGGCCGTACAAACCTCAAAGCGGACTGACGGGAAGGTTCATTTGCCAACTGTTGTCATGTAGTGGTCATTTCTGGGATTCTCAATGAGGCACTGACCACCCTCCAGACCAATCGCTTTCCACCCTAAGACTCCACCAAATTTAAATCTAGTATACAGTCCAGTTTCGAGGCCAACCAAGCGAAAATAGTCTGTGGCCAATGATGTGGTCTGCATATGTGGCTCACCGTTCATTGCACAGGAGTGCGGGCTGCGATGAAGGAGGACGACGAATTAGCCGGATGGTCACAACGTTGAGTCAAGTTCATGCGAGGATCAGAAAATGGGTGGTCTGGGGCCTGCATCATCAGCAATGCCGAGCACGCGCTCTAGCTGACGTGATGGCGTAGAATTGGGTCACGCATGTTCGGCGCAGGCTGCGGTCATCCCCTTGGAGCAGAAGGTGAAACAGGTGTAGTGTGGACATTCATGTCCTGATCGCAGCGCCAAATTTGCGATGTGTGCAGGAAGTTGTGCAAGTTGTGCGAGCTGGGATACTCACCCGAAAGGTGATCAAGTGTATCTTGCCACAGAGAAAAATCCAGCTCGGTCAACCTGGTGCCGTTCACGTGGGTGTGCCGTTCGGCGGGCTCCCATCTGGGCTCCCCGGCTCCAGCACCAGCCGTCGGTCCAGGTCCAAGTCCGGCTTGTCCGGCTTTTCCAGCAGCGGCGCCTGAAGATCAGGCCGCGTCGGTAACCGCAAAGCAGCGAGTGTTTTTTTTCAGTAATGGATGGCCGCTCTTCCCAACGAAAGAGGCCCAACATAAGAAGCGCAAGGCTATGAGAGTCATGAGCATAGGTGGGCTTTTGAAAAATAGATGGCCCTTGTAAATGGAGTAAACCCCATCTAAACCAGTGGAACCCATCTATTTTTAACCAAACTAACCCAAAAAGGACACCTATGGTCATGAGCCTTGAGGCATTTAGAGTTCAGGCGCCGAGACGTCTCAATCCCATGTCTTGGGAATCCCATGTTTGCCGTCCCGGGGTTCCTGGTTGAGAGATCTCACAAGTCGGAGGCGCGTATGCCTTGAAGTCCTTCATGTTCTTACGAATGATTCGCTCAGGCTGACAGTTCTTGTTCAATCAAAGATTCCAAACATGTGGCCGGTGTGCGTTTTGGAGCCACAGAAAGGGAATCACTTGTGGCAGGATTCCACTTCGGAAACTATACAGCGTCTTCAGCTCAACTGCAGGCCTGCAGGCTGTCGTTCAAGCAAACCTGGCAAGTTGGCGCGAGTGCAAGGAGAGGGGGCATCAAGTACAGAATTGGTCGCAAGGAAGATACAAGAACCTGCCCTCGTTAACATATCTTTTACGCAGAGATGCAGGGTGTCGCACGTGGAACCTGACCAACACGCAAACCCGCAAACCCCCGACCTGCCTGTTTGATTCTGAGGCTACCTTCATATGCTCCATCAAGTCATTCAACAAGTGTTTGTGGGTTTCTTGAGAACATGCATTGCCAGTTTTGAGTACCAACTGCAATCCTGTCGCACAAAACGGGGCGCTCTCAGTAGCCTCTTAAACGCAAAAAGCTGCAACTCATGTGACCGGCATACCCTCCCTTCAACAATCACGGAAGTGGAGCTAGTCTTCGGCATCGGAAGCAAGGCAATCTGAGAACCCCTTCGCCTCCTCCTCCCCGACGCTCAGCTCCACACGTTTTTTTTTTCGGGCGCCGCTTGCCCCGCGGAAGCCTCGCCCAGGCCTCCTGCTCGTAGTAGGCCCAGCGCCCGTCAGCCTTCACCAGCCGGTCGCCTGAAGTGAACTCTGAAAGCGATCCTCAGACTGAAGACAAAGTCGAGGTTCGATGCGCATCCCTTGGGTTAGGTAACAACTCGCCAGCAACTATCAATCTCCACTAAATTCCCGGCGCAGACGAGGCAAGAGGCCACAAGTAATCCATGCCGCGCTTGCTTTGCAACATGTTGTGGTCGAGAGATCATGCAGATTGGCTTTCGCTCGCCCCTTGTAAAGCTCTCATGGCTGTCAAAGACTGTCCAACTATGCCTGATGTTTCTTGTGCAACCACAGAAACACTATGCCCGATTCCTTGATGCAAACAATTGTCCACCACAACATAATATGATTGTTCCTTTCGATTTCTTTCCCATTTCTATGCGCAAGCCGAGCCAATCTCCCTCCCCTCCCCACCGCCCCCCAATTCGCCTGGCTGCACGCAAAGCTCGGGTCGCCCAGCCACCTGCTGCCAGACCTAAGGGCATTGCATGGGGCCATTGCTGTTAAATGCCGGTCTTGGCTTGCTAATCGAGACGGCTTGCTGTGTCAACGTTGTCCTTCTGGTTCAAAAATGTACCATGTCCACTTCCTGCGCCACCTTTCTGCCTCCGTTGTCTATGGAAACAAAACAATGCGGTCAGCAGGCATGTCTCACAATAACAAAAAAACCATTTAATGCCGGCACAAAGCATGCAGAGGGCCAAAGCCTATCTGTAACAACCCCCCAGAAACGTGGCTCGCTCCCCATCAAAGGCGGCGGGAGCCGGGCATTCCACCGGTCCAGCGGCGACCGCTTTTGGATGCCGCTGACGATGCGCGAGCCCGTTTGGCTGAAGAACCTGCACGGCTGTGCGAAAATCCAAGCATCTCCGAATGAATGCGCATCCGGCCAATCAGCAACCGCTGTTCTGACATGACCGGCGGAAGGTGGCAGCCAACTTAGAAAGCCCTTGTGGCCCACGGGAAACGCAAGCCAACAAGCAAGCAAGCAAAATAGAAAACAAACAAACAAACAAACAAACAAACAAACAAACAAAATGATTCACACACACACACGCACATACACAAACACAGACACACACAGACACAGACACAGACACAAACACACAGACACACAGACACACACACAGACACACACACAGACACACAGACACACAGACACACAGACACACAGACACACAGACACACAGACACACAGACAAAGACACAGACAAAGACACAGACACAAACACAGAAACAGACACAGACAAAGACACACACAGACACACACAGACACACACAGACACACACAGACACACACAGACACACACACACACACAGACACACACAGACACACACAGACACACACAGACACACACACAGACACACACAGACACACACAGACACACACAGACACACACAGACACACACAGACACACACAGACACACACAGACACACACAGACACACACAGACACACACAGACACACAGACACACACAGACACACACAGACACGGCACGGCACGGCACGGCACGGCACGGCACGGTACGGCACGGCACCGCACGGCACGGCGCGGCGCGCGCGGCGGGCGGCTTGCTTGCCCCCCCCCCCCGCCCCGCCCCGCCCCGCCCCCCCGCCCCGCCCCGCCCCGCCCCGCCCGCGCACGCCACGCCACGCCACGCGCCACGCCACGCCACGCCGCCACGCCACGCCGCCACGCCACGCACGCCACGCCACGCCACACGCCACGCCGCCCGCCACGCACGCCGCCACACGCCACGCCACGCCACGCCACGCCACGCCACGCCACGCCACGCACGCACGCACGCACCCACGCACCCGCGCACCCACGCACCCACGCACCCACGCACCCACACACGCACCCACACACACACACACACGCACGAACGCACGCACGCACGCACGCACGCACGCACGCGCGCGCGCACGCACACGCACGCACACGCACACGCACACGCACACGCACACGCACACGCACACGCACACGCACACGCACACGCACACGCACACGCACACGCACACGCACACGCACACGCACACGCACACGCACACGCACACGCACACGCACACGCACACGCGCACGCGCACGCACACGCACACGCACACGCGCACGCGCACGCGCACGCGCACGCGCACGCACGCACGCACGCACGCACGCACGCACGCACGCACCCAAGCACACACACACACACACACACACACACACACACACACACACACACACACACACACACACACGCGCACCCAAACAAACAAAACAAAACAATACAATACAAAGCAAAACAAACAAACAAACAAACACAAACAAACAAACAGAGCTTGCGCAGCCGCCAACAATGACACACTCTCAGCGCGCCAACTGTCCATCCCTGCCCCCGAGCCACCCGGCTCGTCGTGCCACTCATAGCCCCACGGCACCTGCACCCCGGGCCGGGTGAGCACCACCCGGAAGCTTCGCCTCAGTACGGCCATGACACCCTCCAAACAGCAGGCACCACCTGGTATCACAATAGATGCTTTCTCTACATGGCAAGCCATGGTGACAGTGGTACACGTGCGTACTTTACTTCCACCAGGAACACCAGGAGGTCAGCTAACATGATGAACCGACCTGTTTTTGTCATTTCCCCCCCAACTGGCCAACCGGCATACACGCGAGGTACATACCGGAAAATCGCTACCATCAAAGGCCGCGGCGCCTTCGCTGCTGTTCCGAGACCAATCACAAGGTGGGCTGCAGACTGCTTTGTGCAGGATGCGCTGCTTGTTGACATCGGTCACTGTGCAACCGAGTCTTCGATTCCCTGCAATTCCACTCAAGCATGGCCTGTGCCCTTACCAATTGGCAGAATGTGTGGCATCTGGGGAACTGTCTGTGTCCATGAAAGCACTCAAGATTCTGCACTCGCCAAACCACTCAAAGCATATCCACACAAAAGAACACATCAACGCATGCTTTCGCCGCACGCTCCAGGGGCATTCCCACATCTCTTTTTGGTCCCTGGCATGAAGTTCGTCACGGCCCCCGGCGGCGCGCGGCTAGTCCTGAAGTCGGGAGAGATCTGCAAAAGCCACTGGTGGATTGTCGTCCAAGAGTGGGGGGCCCGCAGAACGGCTGGACAGGGTTCCACTTTTTGGCTACCCCACGATAGACTTAAACCCAGGGTTCTCCTTGCGGGGGGAATGAACCACCCTGGGTTTAAGTCTGCCCTGGGGCAGTCAAAAAGTAGAACCCTGCGGCTGGATGCATTGTTGAAAACTGCCGATGACGGTCATATGGGAGTGTCTGCCACTACGTATTTGATTCAATCTGGCATATGGGACAACTCTTCCCCAAAGAACAGCATCAACTCCGCCATTGCCTCCGGCCAGTACGCCGCTGGGGCCCTTAGGGAAATCTCTTAGGAACACGTGAAGAATCCCGATCAAATGACAAACAGGCGTGCTCTTGAACCCCAGAGCTCATCTCCGTTGGACCAGGCATCAATCAAACTTTGTTGCTGTTGACCCCTCTGCAAAAAGTTTAACTTTTTGTGGATTGAATGGAAAACCCCTTGATTTCCCAAAAAGTTAAAGTCTAGAGATCCAACCCAATAGCAGTCAAGCAAACGAAGGGCATGAAAGAAGATGAAAGATTGCCCGGGCGCAGAGCACAAATCACAGAACCCGACCGATGCATCTTTCACACTAGCACAGGTTCCTTGACTCTGCAGAATAAATGAACACTGCCGATACCCTGCATGGCCAGCAATGGTGCAGGTTCCGCTGACGTTGGACTTTGGGCTCAATGAACATGCACGAACTGCTCCCCAGAAGCAAATGTCCAAGCAACAGCAGCAGGCCACTGAGCTCCAAGAAAGCAATGACAAGAGGCTCTTCCCAACCTCCCAACCTGCGCTGTCAAGGGTCCTAATGAGAGGCACGGCAGAAGGTGTCAGGATTGGGGTTGCAATCCCACACTGATCCCTTGCACAAGGGGACTTGGATAGACGAAACCAATGAAATCAGAATCAAATCGTTGAAATCATGCCAAACAGATGAATCAGCCCACCCAAGAACCAATCAAATCATTGAAATCATGCACAAGGCTTACTTGAATCAGCCCACCCAAGACAAAATCGAAAACTCACGGTCCTCCGCCCAGCTGTGCGCAGGGACTGCAGCTGCGGCTGTGACCGGGCTCCCGCCAAGGGCCTTGCTACACCGTAGCCAATGGCTCAATGTTGCGGAGTCCAGGCCATTGCTCTGTTTCCCCTTGCAACAAGGTCTTCTGGCAGTTCCTTCCCATTGATCTACCTCTTCCCTCCCAGGTCCAAATGGCCACTTTGAACAGGGCCGAAATGCACCCCAACCTCGACAAGAGGATACATGGCCATTCGGGGCCATCGGCCGCATACCAGAGCCTTTTCAAGCCTCAAGCACCTTGTAAGTTGCCTTGCTCTTCTCCGCTGCTTTCTGGAGCTTTCCACTCCAATCAGCAAAGGACCTCCCGGGGAGCTGGGCCAGCTCCCCGCCAGCTTTTACAAGAATCGGACAGCACGCTCACCCTTTCGTGCAGTTTGCGTGGCGCGTCACTCGCGGTGAGATATGAATACTGAACGCGTTTGCCTCAGAAAAATGCAACCCATACGCAAAGCCTGCTCGATGACCAAAGGGGCTTGTTTTTTCTCCAATTTATTGGGCACTTCAGCAAATAAACCTGTCCGGGTTCTTCTCCTTTGCCCTCCATTCGCATCCCTTACCGGCATTCGTGAACACGCCCTGCGGGTCGCTCCTAGACATTTGCTGGCAAATGCATACAGAGGCAAGCACCTTGATGGCCGTTTCCAGATGTTCGAGCAACTGTCCCTGCCTATCCACAAAAGAGTGCGCTTTACTCAAGCCGTGGGCTCGTTGGTGAAACCTAATCAACCCTCCATCTACCTAGCAAACCTGCCCCACGTGTCCCGTTGTTGCGAATTGGATGACGCCCAGCCAAAGCCCCTAAGCATGCATGGTAACTAGGCTCCGCTCACCCACAAAGCCCCCAACCGCCTCGCGCCCCCCACCCCCCACCCTAGCCCCGACAGGATGCCGCGCCCACTCTCTAGGTTGCCGGTTTTGGCCTCGGGCATGCATCAAAGAAACGCATGGACCAACTCTCCCAATGCCAGCTATTTGAAGCTCAATAGTCAAAATTTCGACTACACTGAGCTTGTTGAGGACTGAGGGCTATGGCCCCGAATTAACAAGCTGCGACTGCTGAAAGCTCCGGGCGTGCACCGGACTCATTGCGGAAAAACTGCTTTCACTTTTCATCCCACTGTCACGACTTGCATGTCATGCTTCCACGGCCAACCAAAGCAAGCTGTGAACCAAGCGCTCAAAACTGCACCCCGGTGACAAAGCAGCATTGACTATGGCATACTTATCAGGGTAGGGCTCCTATCTGGCAGTCTCCGCTGACACGTTCAAGACGTCAAGAGTTGCGAAGTAGTAGTAGCCACATCCGGCAAATGAGCAAGGTAGCCGATTCAAAGATACTAAGAGGTTCCAATTCAATCTCAACAAAAAGCCCCAGCAAGGGGTGTGCCATTTGTTCAGCGAAACCGGTGGGCTGTATTCTCACATGCCAAATTTGACTTGGAAACAGGATGACTGGCAAAAAATCCCGCGCAATCGCTTCATCGACCTCGCCCTCCACCTCCACATCCCCTCCAGCCCCGACGCCGGGGCCCCTGCTGCGTTCAGCGCCACAGGCGGGCGCCCCGTGGGGCCCCGGAGAGGCTTCCGCTTCAACCCGGGCTCCGTGAGGGAGTCCAGCCTCAGACTCCCGAAAGCAGACACCATGGCTGAACTGCCCCAGATTGGAATCGCCGATTTTTAGGAAACATTCCATATGTTTTTGGAAGAAACCAAGTTGCTTCCAAAGGAAAAAACATTCATGTGATGTTTCATTTGCTTCTTCTGGCTCTTCTTCCAGTCATGCTGACCTGTCACATGGGCAACATCACCTGGCATGTCGTGCAAGAAGCTCGGCACCCGCCATAGCGGCAGGGCACCGTCAGTGCGAGCTGTGACCAAACACCTGCCAGCCACTACGTACGCATGCTGGGATCAAACCAAGTAAATTTGGAGATGGCCCTGATTCCATCAACACTGCTTCTGGCCATGGCTATTGAAGAGTTGGTGATTACTACTCATTAGCCACAAACTCAAGCGGCCTGGTCGTTGACCATGGCACATGCCTGAAGCCTTCTTGCTCAGCTAGCAGAAACACTCAACAGCGGTGTCTCGAGAAGGACAGCTGACAAGGAATACCTTGTGGTTTTCTCAGAATCAACCCTGCGCCAAGGCACAAGTATTGAGTTCTGCAAGTCAACCAACAACGCACCTATCCATCCTTGAAGTCGAACGTGTCTGGCTCAAATAAAGAAGCTGCAGCTGCCCAAAAGTCATACCATTCTAACGCTACGAAGCTACAAGTAACAGCTTGTGCAATTGCATCAATATCACAAGTGGCTGGAGATATGATTGCACACAAAGCCGGCATATATGGCTGTGGTTCGCAAAATGGTACCCAAAATGGCCCTTGGTAAATGGAAACAATGACTAATAGCCGCGTAACCCTAGCTCTTGAATTTTAAGCCACACCGATATGTTGGCCGATCGCTTGAACAACTCGCGCAGGCCAGGATTCTTTAAGCAATGACGCGAGGCTAGAAAACAAGAGCTTGTAGGCATACGGTGTGAAAACATGTAACCAAACTTTTAAGAGCTTGTCGGATACAAAACCCGTAAACACATGTTGCGAGTGTTTTGGTTTCTTCCAACAAAAGAGAGATGAGTGGCTCAAAGCAAGAAGGAACGGAACGGGGTCTTCCAGCAAAAAATAGCCGCACAAACGATTAGGCAATTGTGACTTGCGTATCTGCGATGTTCTGACTCAAACTCTGAGAAGGCGGCAACTGAAACGGTCGTTTAGTCATGGGATGTCTCCGGCTTCTTCCACTGCAAGTCACCTTCTGCATGCGGCGTTTGCTGGCTGCTGATCCGGCGCGAAAGCATAAAAAGCCCCACCTCGGACGCCTGGGCCCCTTGCAGTTGCTGCGCCGCACGCTTCGAAGCGCTGGACCTTGCGGTGCATGGGACGCGTCTTTGTGACCTTATGGGCCCGCAAAAAGTGAGCTGAAAGCCGCCAGTGGTTCCCTTTTGCAAGCCCACACGGGGCAAAAAAGACCCTAGCAAAACACCAACCCTGGACACGCGTGGAAGACTGCCAGAGTGTAGCATCGGGAGCGAACGGAGAACAGCTGGGCGTTGAAAACACTGAGGCCCGCACACCCAGGCAGAGGAAGTTCCAGTAGGGATGTCAGGGGCTTCCTGCAAACCATCTCGACTATCTTCCACCACCACTCATTGTGTCTGTTGTTACTGGTGTTGCTGCTACCAACCACCGCCACCACCGCCGTCGCCACCACCGCCGTCGCCACCACCACCACCACCACCACCACCACCACCACCACCACCACCACCATGACCACCACTTGTTACTTGGCCCCAGGACAGCTGTGTATGAAAGCGTGAACACTATCAACTCTGGCTGGACGAGCCCCAACGGCACCATCAGCATTATGAGCACCACCAGCACCACCACCAGTGCCAGCACCAGCACCAGCACCAGTAGTCGAAATTACTGGAAATATAAAGTTGTTAGTACTCTGGAGCTAGCTATCTGAAAAGAGCCTGTTGGGATGGTTGGTCCCATGAGCCTTGCACACATGTGCATCTGTTTGTGTTCACTCTGAAAGCAAAAAGGAAAGGCTGTGCCACGAAGCAAAGGAGAAAACTATCGAATCAAAGTTGGGGCCAAAGGCCGAACATGCGGAATCACTTGCGTATCGAACTGTTAATCTCCAATATCTTTAAGATGCAGCCAAACGCATGGGAAGGATTATTATCTTCTGTGTGTATCCAGGAAACCCATTCAAAGCAGCATCAAGTCTACCGGTGAATGGCGTCCTAAGTACTGATGCCTGCGAATGGTCTGGTAGGGACCGTCGCCGCGCCTCAAGTTGCAACTAAGAATAGCATCCAGTAAACTGGGCTGCCCTCAGATCCCCTGCTTGAAGTTTAACTTCTAGTGGCTTAAATGGAAACCACCACAAAACCCTAAAAGGCCAAAAAGCTAAGCCCACACGGCCCCAAAGCCCAGCTGGTCCTCCGGGGGGCCGGGGCTCTTCAGGAATGGCAGCAAGGGCGACTTCCCGGGCGCCAGCATTGGCGCTGGGCCCTGTGTGAGTTGGCAAAAACGTTCTCAACGGCAAATGAGGCCATGAGGTGGCATAACCTATGGCGATCCCGTTTTGGATGAGTTCATCCATTTGCCACCTATTTTGATGTTCACCAGGGGTTTACAGGGTTTTGACCCACAGCCATTTGGCAACGGCGGCAGTGTCCGAACAAAGGACTTGTGTGGGGTTGCCCTGATTGGCTTGACATACATGCCTGCCTGCCTCATGGTAAAACGAGGCATCCCCTCAAGGCAGCTTGCTTTTCGGTGCTGGTCGCATTGCGAAAGGGCCAGCTTTCTTTTTGCCGCCAGGGGCTCAAGAGCTCAGGAAGAAATCAATCCAAAAACAAAGCGATGCACACATCCGAACCAAAAAGTTGACCTCGAGTTTGCTTAGCCCAGGTGTGTTCGCCCACTCAACATCACTCAGCTGACTTCCAGGGGGAGTTTTGAAGCTGCAGTGGATCAGGCGAAATAGTTCCCGAATCGCGCCCGGCAGTAGTTTCTGCATCAGGCGAAATATAGTTTCTGAATCGCAGCTTCCGAATCTGGCCATGGGTCAAAAGCCCGTACCCCCAGTGAACATCCCAATCCCCACTAAAATAGACTAAAGTGGGTGGTGCACCTACCCCAAAATAGGATCCCATTGTTGTTGACCCACAGCCATGATAGTTTCTGAATCGCGGGCCGCTTCCAGAAATCGGTCGACTGTTTCCCGCCTCGCCCTCGACGCAAACCCAGCCGACACCAGGGGGGACAGGGCCTCGCACCGCGAAGCGGGCACTCACAGGCCGGCTGGAACATTGAACACGTGAGAGAAACTCGGTTGCTTTCTGCTCCCTTGCTAAAAGCTTAACTTTTAGTGGTTTAATGCAAAACTCATTATGTATAGTTGGCAAAAAGTTAAAGTCCTAACATCCAAGCAAAATGCACCAAAGGAAATCTTGAGGGAATCTTGGCACTCTACTTGAAACCCCACCTGGGCCCTGGCAAAATACAAGAAAAAACACGTCCATGACCGGTCCCAGGTTCCCTTGGAAGCTTTCAACCCGCCAAAGTGGCTGGCCGAACACCTCCGTTCCGAGTCCCTTAGTGTTCAGAGCCGAAGCCGGCGCTTCCAGCGAGTTGGTGGACGTATTGGGACGGCTTGTTTGGTAAGCTGGAAGGACTCTGGTTTGCAAAAAACGAAACATAGTCCAAGCAACATCGCTTTTTCTTGGGGGGGGGGCTTCCTGCAGGTTCCCTTCAAGGATCCTACTCGCTGCAGCTGCACAGCCCTTCAACTCGCCTGCGGGAATGCGCATGCAGTGGTAGAGCTCCACGGCTCTGAGAGACCACTTGAAGGTGGTACCTGCGCCCCATGCGACAGAAACGCTCCGCCGCAAACCGTCTGCTGGAGACCGTGGACGAGTTGGGAGATATCTAGGGCTTCTTTGGTCAGTTCTTCGCCAATCCATATAGCAGGGCATCAAGGATGAAAAGGAACTGGAACCATGCACAGCATGTTTGGCAAATGCACTCTTGTGCTGTAAGCCGCGTAGGAAGGGTGGGTGAGGCTTGCAACCAGCACAAGCAACATGTCACTCAAGTCGACAGATCAGTTTATTTCACAGCTTGCAACATCGTGCAACCTCGACCAACCTCTGGTTGATTTGAAACTCCTGGGTCAAATAGCTTGTTCCTTTTTTCCCCCCGCGGGTAAACGCCTAGTTATCGAGCAAGGGATCGACACTATTCTCAAGTGAGCGGGAGGGACTGGAGAAGGAATTGCCCAGGGCCAAGGCTTCGGCAGGATCACTCCAGTGTGCAGATGAGGCCAGCATGTTGCGGAGTCAACTAGATTTCAGACTCGCTGTAGATGGATGAAAGGCGCGTTCAGCCCTTCTCATCTTCTCATCTTTGCAGATTTGTTGAAGGAAAACCCAGCAAGCGAAATTGTGTCCAGGTAATCATCCAGCTCCAGTTGATTCGTCCTTCAACAAACATGGAAAGCATTGCACGTGCCATAGCATGAGTTAGCAACAAATCTGAAATGGGCAACCCATGCCGACATTCCGGCAGCCTCAACCAATGTGGAAATGTCATCCTCACCTCCCATGCCCACACGCAGCCATGGGCGCACTGCCCCTTAAGTCCACCAGGGACCATCCCTCGTCGCCCTTGCGCATCAGGACAAGGGACCTTAGACGAACACGGAGCGGTCTGTTTGTCTTGCGCACCAAGATTTCCTGCTGGCTGTGGGTCAAAATAGGTACCCAGTATGGAACCCTGGTAAATGGAGAAGTAGACAAAAACCTGCGGCCCCCGGTGGTTTAATTCTGACCCATGCCCTGCGAAGCTTTGCTGATAAAACGAAACACACAAGTGAGATGCCCGGATCTTGTTTGCTGTGCATACCCTGGTCTGCTTGCTGCCAGAAAAGCTTCGAGAATTCCAGGCATGTGCCCTCAACTTCGTATTCTTGCAAGCAAAGTGAACAAAAGCCGGCAGCTGCTCATCCCGTCCAATTTGGAAGCTCTCTGCCTGTCACAAATCCCTTGCAAAAACAAGCCAGCTTAGGCAATCGCGGGCGACCAAGATGCCTATGAGCATGCAGAAGCTCAGTATTGGACACGTGTCACATTATGGAAATCATGGGCAACTGCCGCACTTGACAAGGGCAAGTCCACAACTCGATTGTCGCTCTGACCATAGGCTGTACAAGCAACGAAGAGATGAAGTCAAATGCGTGGGAGCAGCAAAAATCTGCTCATGGTTGCGAATGACGCCTCCTCACCTCCACTTAGCCCGGCTTTGTTTGTGGCTGATGGACTACTTTGGACCCAGCCCAGCTAGCCGATCCCCATCTCTTCTGGCCCGACTTGCGCCCTGATAAGATCTGTCCATTTGATGGTAGTTTGTGATACCAGTGCCTTAGGCAGCCTTACTTTCATGGCTCGGCGGCCTGAAAAGGACTCCTGGAGTCAGACGGGGCAACAGCTAACAGAACCCCAATGCATCCACTGGTTCATGTCTGAGGTGTCACTGCATCTCTTTCACATTCCTTGAATGCATCGATGTGATCATTCAACCTCGATGACGCAGGGGTTCCCTGGAAACCAAGCTCGACATCTGCTCCTTCCCCACGCCTTTTTTTTCGCTGACAAGCAGCGTTCCGGCCTTTTGGAAGGCATCCGCGCGGTTCACCTCACGGGAGCACACGTTCAGATTGGCTTCCGGCCTATGCCTTGTGCTTGTTGTCCACACCGGTGAGGTGCTTCACTCTTGCGCTTTGCGCGAAGCCTCCATAGGAAAACTGCAATAAGACTGTAGCACGCAACAGTGCTTCTCAGGGTTTGATTCTTCCATGTGCAAGTCGCGACCATTTAGTCTGTCCAAAGCGAGGGGAGTCGTCTCCATTCTTCTGTTGACGTACGCCAAGAACATAGTGATGCTTGAAAACTTCCAAAGGGCAGAATCTGTAGCCTCCTCCAAAAGAGCCGCGCATTTTGGCCATTCAAGTTCTGAAACGCTTGTGATGCCGAGGCTGGCCGTGGGGCCAGGAGGCTGGCGACACTGGCAATTGACAAGATGGTCCTACCAACAAACCCCAATTTCCTTCATAGCAAGTGGCAACCAAAATTGGCTGTGGCTCACATCAAGCGTTGTGCAGTCTACAGGAGGAATGCAGTCAAGGCTGCATCAGAATCATTTTGGCAGTAGGGAGGGGTGACGTCGGGATTTTGGCCCACAAGTAAAAACAGGGGCCTAGGTACAAGGGCTTAAACAATGGTATTCAGAAAGCCATTTTGCAGACTCACGGTACCGGCATAGAGTCTCCAAGTCAAAGAAAGGGTGTAAGGAATATGAGAATGAACCCAAGCATAGGTGTCCTTTCAGGGGCAATAGATGGGTTTCCCTGGGAGATGATTAAACCACCAGGTAAACTAGGGTCCGCCATCTATTTATTTTTCTAGCAAAACCACCAAAAAGGACACCCATGAACCCACGCTTTCTGCGAATCGTCACATCCAAACCTCTCGGGAGCAAAGGCCTGCTGCGAGGCGCGTGCGTAGATGCCATTCACGTACCACTCCCCCGCACCTTGGACCTGGCAAAGCCCCCAAATCCGCCCTGCGACTCCGAACCCGAAAGGCGGGAAATTCACCCACCTGGTCTCTCAAAACGGAAGTTTGAGTGTGTTGCAGGTGGTTTTTGTTGGGCATCCTGGCATCCTGTGTTGACCACAAAAGCTGCCAGAGCCCGTGCGGTTTGTCCTCATGGGCAAATACGAGGCACGCAGCAGCAGGTAGAATTCACTTCTGGCTGCGGCTTCCCCCCTTTGTGGAAAAATGGAGCTCGCCGTGCACAAGAAAAGGAGAAAAGCCACTGTCAACAACCCTCGCCCTGCAATTTGCTCCAAGTGTGTCCTTCTTGGTTTCTAACACGAGGCTGCCAAGAACCTAAACAAGTCATGCGCTCTGCGAGACAACTCGGCGAGAGGACAATTGCCGAATCCTGCTCTCATCCCGGCCCACGCATCGCTGGGACTTGAGCCCACCTCAAAGGAGGAACCGGGCACGTAGACGTGCGATGCCTCCGCATCCGACCAATCAGACAGTGCACAAAGCCATGCAGTTGCAAAAATACAGACAAACAAGGGTGCGGTCACTGGACGCATCACTCAACTGCTTGCCCAAACTGAAAGAGTTGGAAAAACAAATGAGTCTAAAGAGCCATTCTTTGAAAGAACAAGGCACATCGCCTATGCCTGCATGAGCGGCAATGCGAGGAGGATACTGCTTCAATGCCAATTAAAATGTGTCCAAACGTCGATACCCGGGATTTGTTTGTTGAGACTAGAATAAAACAAACCAGGCCGAGGGATCGCTTGATTTTGACTCGTAAGGAAACTGCCCACGTAAACTCAACCGCGTCCACCGCGTTCTCGCCTTCAGGGGCAACCGCCCTGCCAACGAGGTCGACATGGGGGAAACCAGTGTCGCCTACTAGTCCCGTGTCTCTGTGTTGCGGTGGAGTGTTTCAGTGTTTGGCTGCCGTGTTGAAGCTGGGCTACAGCTGGGGCTGGGACAACTCAGAGGGCAACATTGTGTTTATGCCGTTGAGGGGTTGAATGCCTGCGTTCCCATTGGACTAGTTAGTGACTAGCCCACTATCGTTCGCCCCATGCAGTCCAACGTCTTTGATGATTCCTGGGCGAGGCAGCACCCTTTGGGTCGCTTCCCGCCCTTGGAGCCAATGATTCAATTGGAGCAACGGAGCCGACCACTTGTAGCCTGGATCGAGCCAGATTTCCGCCCTGAGCCTCTGGCAACAGCAAGCAGAGCCAAGGATCAATTCATCTAGGATTGCGGGAGGCTGGAGAATTGGATGAAGCGGGCACCAACACGCAGTCTCAACCAAGGAATGCATGATCCGCGGTTGGGCCCCTTCATGGTCAAACTCCCCTCAACAAGGATCCGCCACAAAGCTTCTTCAAGGGCCCAAACGAAGTCTGGGGGCAAAGGGCAACAAATGTGTATGAAGAGGTAAAGCCGAAGTATTCATCCTTCTTCGAATCTTGCCACCACCGTTCTAGTTGTTCTCACCGCGGTCAAAACAAAATCAGCCCGGCGCTCCTGTGTGCAAATGCTATGCTAAGCAAGTAGATTGATCAGGGCTCCTGTTGCATGCTCAAGTCATTTCGAAGTCGGAACCCTTCGATGTACCGAGAAGCCTAGAGCTGCTTGGCGTAGAAGGCTCTGCGAGATGCTGGATGCTGCGAGGCGAACCCGCATCGACGTCCCCCAATTTTCCGCGAAGAGAAGGCATCTATCCGCAGCCCATCAGCAGTCGATGCACTTCATGTGCTTCCACTGGTTGTAGTCTATGTGCCGCCTGAAACCGACTCGAACGCTGGTTGCAATTCAGCACCAGAGACGTCTCTTCTAGGCAGGTCGAATGTTGCGTTGCATCCCTTGAGATGCATTGCTTTTCTAGTGGCATTACGTTCAATCAAGTGGATGTCGAACACCCTCACAGCATCTTGCGTAGGTCAACCCATCCTAAAAGGGGGAGTAACTTCGCCCAAGCAGTCACCAACAAAAGGTTCGTGCCTTCCAGGATCCACCCAACAGGCGACGGAACTGAGCACTCGATTCTGGGGTCCAGGCATCATCGCTTTTAGCCTGGCAATGTCACGTGTATGTAACGAGACGTGCTTGTCAGTTTGTGTTTTTCTGCGTGTGTGTGTGCGGTTGTGTGTGTTTGTGTTTGTGTGTAGGTGTGTTTGTGCGCTTGTGTGTTTGTGTGGTTCTGTGCTTGTGTGCTTGTGTATTTGTGCGCTTGTGCGCTTGCGTGGTTGTGTGGTTGTGTGTGTTTGTGTGGTTGTGCGTGTATCTCTCTCTCTCTCTCTCTGTCCGTCTCTCTCCCTCTCTCTCTCTCTCTCTCTCTGTCTCTGCTCTGCCTCTGTCTCTGTCTCCATGTCTCGTGGTCATGGATTCCTTAGCAAGAATCTTGACAATGCTTGTCTTAAATCCCTATGACCGGCCCGGTGATAAATACCAGGAAGTTGTATTTGACCTTGGCACACATGGTCAAGTCACTGTTTGGGGCCTTGGCGTCTCATGTTTCACATTGGCAGCCAGCACCCGCAGTGTTCGGAACAAGAAAGAGCCAAAAGCAACCGATGTATATAAGCCAGCAAGTTCTCCAAATCGGCTTGTCAAAGCGGTGTCAAAGATGACCTGGCCATGGGTCAAAATCCCGTACCTCCGGTGAGTCTCAATCCCCACTAAAATAGACTAAAGTGGGTGGTGCACCTGCCCATTGGTTTTGACCCACTGCCACCTTTCCGTGCAGCACGTTGCTTGTGACTTTTAACCGTGGCGCTCAACAAGATCGCCAGGACTGCTGCTTCATGGGCCCGATCTCCCAGAAGAACTCAACGCCATCGTCGATGATGGCGCGACAAGTGTCCTCCAGGAGCTAACACGTCCATTCAATACATTATGCAGAATAGCACTGTCCTAGGAACCATGTATGCTTTGAAGTGCTCCCTCTTCCTTGAGAGCAATGAGCCTGGGGAACCTGTCTGAGCCAGGCTGAAGCACAGGTTTAAGCCACAAAGCCGGCTGGGTTGGTTTGCGTTCTCTGCTCTGAGCTGGGGAGCGCTGTGGTTCTGCTTTGCATTCTGTTGCTGTCACTGTTCCTCGGGAAATCCAAGAAAGCCACAGCCTTGAGCAGCAGCAACTCAAGAGAATGCGACATAGGAACGAGCAGCTCGCAGTCTATTCACCCACTACATAGCAAATGGGAAAGGTATCACCCGCCGAAGAAAGTCAGGAGTTAGAACAACAGAAACAATCATGCTCAAGAAGTGACTTGCCGAGTTTCTGGGGGTGTGGCTCAATTTTCATTGAACACTTCACTGTGCCCACCGGCTCTGAAACCAAAAGCCCTGCATGTTACACAGCCTCTAGCCTTCCAATACAAATCAAACCCCGCCCTGGCCCGGCAAGAAGCTGCCGTCCTCCCATTGGTTCGGACAGCTCAAGCCTGGCGCTGCCGCAACTTATTTGAGAGCGGCTCATTCGCTCCAAACTTTGTCTTTTGTAGAGCTACAAGTTGTGGCCAGGGGCTTTTTGATCTGGGCAAAATCCGCCAAGCGTCAGCCAGTAACGACAAAGGCTTCATGGCCCTTGGTGCTCTTAGTTGTTAGTGGCCTGGCAAAGCCCATGTGCCAAGTTTCTGCTGCTGAGTGGGGTGGAAACATTTAGAAGGCGCCTTTTCAGTCCCCGAATTACCGTGGTGCAGTCAAGCTACTTCAAACCGACATGATAACCCGACAGTCGAAGGAGGCTGGCTAGACGTGACAGCATCGTGTCTATGTTTCTCCTTTTTCCTTATGCTTGTTGGCCAAGAGAACCCACCAGGGAGCTTCCGACGAAGCATTGGAGCAAACGCCCGATGGAAGTGGATCAGCAAAACACAATGCTCTTACACAAAGGCTGGCAAGATCGAAGGCGCACTGGCAAGACCAAGTTTTAGCAAAGCCGAACTCAAGCCGAACTCAAGCTGCGGAAACTCTTGGTGCTCACACTCCAAAGCGGAAATCCCAATCTTGCCACATCTTAGCAGCACATCTAACCGGTGCCAATAGGGAATTGTGGGAATTGTGGGAGCTCGGGTGGTGCGGCAGATCATCTAGATCATCTGCATCAAAGCGCCGGCTTTCCCAGGATGCCACCGAAAACAAGAAAAATATGCTGGATTTCAAAGTGAGGAGAAAACAGAATAGATTGCGCGACTCTATTCTAGAAGATATTCCCGCAAGTAATTCTGGCCCGTACTCTACTTGAAATGAACCATGCATAATGGCGCTGTTCGTTTCAAATAGAAGATCCCGCATAAGTTTCGGGTTGATTCCCCATTCTTTTCAACCATCGTACTTTTCTTAAAAACCAGCCGTCTTCCTTTCCGGAGGTGTTCTAGAAAGAAAGAAGGATCCCTGGGTTTAGAATGGGGAAGCCGCCTTGCACCAGGCCCTCCACGATGCTCGTCGCCGGCGTGCCCGGCAGCCACCGCTCCCCGGTCCTGGCACGAGCTACACCGACACCGCGATCCGATCCGATCCGATGCGAGCGGGTTGCGGGTTGCGGCTCCCAGATCTTTGGCCATAGGTGTCCTTTTAGGGGAAATAGATGGGTTTCCCTGGTAGATGATTAAACCACCAGGTACACCAGGGATCGCCATCTATTTTTGTGAGCAAAACAACCAAACAAGGACACCTGCGTCAATGGGCCCGTTTTGAGCGAAATGTGTCAAAGGATGCGAAAAAGCGAAAACATGTGAAAACCGTGGAAAAAAGGATTCATATGCTGTGTTGTGTCTCTTGTTCAACATGCAGCACAAACAGATATTGGTCATGCCATGATATGTCGATACGAATGATGAGAATTTGGCTGTATAGCCTGTATAGCACCATGGCATTTGTCATGCTCTCGACCTGCAGGGAGCTCTTTGAGCTTCAAGGGAAAGGCACCATCCTTGCCCGTCGCCGCTAGGGAGCTTTTGAAATGCTCTAAAGAGCTGACGGACTTTGCTTGCCCCGAAAGGGAATGTGGCTGAAGAGGCATCGAGAACTGAACTGGCGAAGGGATTCAGGGCTCGGTCCTTGTCAACCCATCTGCAACCCATTCTGAGATGAGCCCAAGAACTTATGTCAAAGCGCGCTCCCTTTCAACTTCCTCGCCCTGCAGGTCCTTCTTTTCCAACAAAGAGGCTTCGGCTTCTAGCAAAGCGAAAGCATGCACTTCTCCTTCCGAGACCAAACATCTAGTGGCACTGTGAAATTTGAGAGCTCGGCGTTGACAGCTTCCGGCAACGGAACCCGCACACACGCAACAGCACCTTCCGAAATGCGCCCCCCCCCCCCCGGAAAACAGAAGCAACGCTGCCAGCGGCGCTGCGATGAGTACACCGTGATCTCAGGGCTGTGCAGCCTCAAGGTCCACCCGAAGAGCTCCGGGTCTCCATGAAAGAACCTTAGAACCTTTCGGTGGCTGATACACAGCTTGGTAAAAACGAAACTTGACTTGGTCTTGTGGATCTTCCCATTCCAAGCAACCAAACCTTGTATCTCTGCTCAAAGACATGTAACCATTTGGTCAAGTAGAACAACTTGGCGGCAGCTACCCCGAAGGCTCATAGGGCAAAGGGGAGGCCCAGGCAGTTCTCACTTGGAGGGACAGGTCATAACAGAAGCGCTCCTCTGAATGGTCATGGCCGAAGAAGAACGCAAGGCACGTCTTCGGCTTCTCTGCGTGTAGCGCAAGAATCAAGAGATGGCATCATGGTGGAAAACCAGCAAATTCCTCAACCACCCAAACGCTGTTTCAACACTTGCTTCCCAACAGCTGTGCTGCAGAAACCAATCTGCTGCAACGTCCTCACTAAATAGCAAACACTCTGCAGAAACCAATCTGCTGCAGCTTCCTCACAGGACGCCAAATGGCAAACACTAGCCTTTGCAAACTGCCATGCCAACTCCACTTTCACCTCTGCCAAGGTCCCCAGCACATTCGCACGGACCATCTCCAAGAGGTGCTGCCGGAAGTCTGCCTGGATTCAAAAAAACAAACGCCCGCCTTGAACAGGGAACCTTACATTATACACCTGAACATTGCCTTGTAAATGGTGGTTTCCCTTTATTTTGGTGGAAAAGCCATGTTTCAAATGGGCAAAATGGATCTTTTAAGGAGCCCTGTTGAAGACGCTGCCTCGAAAACAATCGTGGCCCAGTGAGAAGGTTCTGCAAAGAGCCGTATGAATGCATGCTCTGGGAACCGGTCGGTGTTGCAAGGTAGCCCCGAAAGAGGAAACCTTCAAGATGGCACAAACTTGTTGTTCAAAGGGTGTAAAGCAAGCCTGCAACATCCCAAACAAGGCCCTCCCTCTCTTGCTTTCAAAAGCAACAAATAGTACGAGCACACCCCTCAGACTCAGCCGCAAGGCGAGAGTAAGGCTCCCAAGAAAGCAAAAGAGAAGCAAATGTATTCCAAAAATGCATTTGCGGATGGGGCAGCTTCTGACACCACTGCCATGTAAATAGCATTGGAATGGTGTGCCCGGTGGATTCCCAGCATCCCTAATGAGTATCAGTGCGCCGTGCATCTTGTCTAATGATGGGTTCAAATCGATTGCAGTCCTTCACTGGCTGCCATGTTCGTTTAGCAAAGCACCAGCCTCAGCAGGCTTCATCAGCTCTGTGTGAAAGGCTGCGTTGCAACCTGGCAATCTCCAATGCAGCCTGGACGCCTCAGGTTAGGTTGGAACAATAGGGCAAACAACACATGATTACTAGTACTTTTTGACCAGCAACTGCAAAGTCGAGATTCGCTCTTCACATCTCAGCTCACTAATCCCTTTCGTCTTACCATCCTGTGCCTCCGATGAGGATTCTATTCAGTCAGGGTCAACCCAGCAGTGCCGCCCTCAAGGAAGTGCTTCCCCTCTCATCTGCACTCTCGGCTTTCACTGGCATATAAAACCTCCACCGGACACGGACGTGAGCGCGCCCAATGGCACCCCTTTCACCTGCGCGGCCCTCGTTCCGCGCCAAAAAAACGAGCCGGCGCCATTCAGCCGATCGCCTTGAAAAAAAATCCTCCGATCTCCGAGCTGAAACCCCCAGCCTTTGAGGTCGGCCACCTTCTGGGCGCCGCGCTCCTCATGGCACTGAGATCGCTCGCACCGACTTCTTGTGCGAGAGAAGCAGTTGTAGCAAGGGTTTGTTTGCCCTGTTCATGCCCGACTTGTAGCCCACGAGAGAACCTTCCTGCGGGTGTATGAACAAACAATAGGCAGCTGCAGAAGCTATAGTTGTTCAGAGTATCCATTCTTTTGGTTTGGTCATCCTCCGAACGAAATACAGATTCACAGACTGATGTAAACGGCGGTGGTCAAGTCTGGTTGCCACGGTATCTTGAATATTGGCTTTTGAAGCCTATACGGCTATGCTGAAGGTTTGCTTTCAGAAGCTTGCTTCTTTCAATATGGTTGTTGTGTTAGCTTTGATGGCAGGGCAGCAAGCTGTTGTGCCGCACCCTTTCACAAAATAGGCACTTGAAGTTGGCATCTCCAAAGGTCTAGCTTGACAGTGTGTTGTAGTGACAGTGTAGTGGATCATTTGTTGTCATTGAAGGAAGGCGGTGTTCAGTTCAAGTCAAGCAAAACTTGCAATGCTGCAGGTAGTCCGTTGTTCTGAGTACTTGATTGCTTGGTTTGGGCTGTTTCAACTCTTGGTTTGGGCTGTTTCAACTCCCTTTTGTGAAGTTTCACAAAAAAGACCCTCTGGTTGACATCTGCCAAAGCACGACAAAACATGGAAGTGTTGATCCAGAATGATCGTACACTGCGTCAGGCGTTGAGTGTATCACGGTATTCCAGGGACTTGTCGTTGTATGAAAGATTGTACCGCAATTCGCCAAGAAATCGTATGTCATGAAAGTCCAGGGGCGCATGTTCTGCCTGAGCTTGGCTTTGCCCTAGAAGTACGCTTTGCACATCCTCTCGTAATCTGTCCAACAGACTAGCCATGTCAAGCGAGAAGCAGGTGGGAGTTGCACCTTTGCACCCGGGACAAGCGTTGGCTCTGAAAAGTGCTGCGTGCAAATCCGCGTTCGGCTGAAACTGCGGAGTCCTGGGCAAAGAAAATCGTACGAGGGTGCGCCTTCAAGACTTCACGTGATGCAAGCGCAAGCCAATGCAATCAAAGAAAATGCCCACCCACCCCCCACCCCCCCCCCGGCAAACCAAGCCTTTGCTCAAACAAAATGCCCCCCTTGGCAACCATGAAAAACTGCTGTGCCAGCGTTCGAATGACACTTGTCCGCTTCCGAAGGCAACAAGTACTGAAGGGCTCAATCCAAAATTTGGCCTGCACCATGCCTGCGCGAGAGCCATGGTTCAATCGACTGGAGGAATGAGTCCATGATCTGAGCATGAGCTCTTCCCTCATAACAAGCCTCGATTGCCTGGAACACCCTGAGATCCAGCGGGCAAGAAGTTTCGATGGGGCTTGCGATTGAAGCCTTCTGAGGCAGTACCGTCGGTTTGGGCCAGGCTCACCTGAGAAAACCACACTGCAGATTTGCCTGATACGTACGGAGAAATGGCATTTCACCAACTTGGAATCATTGGCCCGATAGAACCAAAACCACCCCGGCCGATTCGCTCCTTCGCCCTGCTCTTGGCAGCCTGCACGGCTGGTGCCGTTCCGGACCTCAAGCAGGTCAAGTCAAGGGTGAGCCTCTGTCCACGTGAGAAGGTGTGAAAGGAAGGCGGGTCGCCCTTGTTAAAGGTTCGAAGCAGAAAGCAAAAGGAAACCAATCAATCGCGGGGCCCTTTATTTGGAAACATTTGCCGGTTGATGCTCTACTGCCAGACTAGGAATTAGAGCCAAGCCTGACCCCGCCGCTCAACAAACCAAATCAAACACAAATCAAGGTGCGTGGAATGAGCATAGGTGGCCTTGTGGAAAAATAGATGGCCCTGGTAAATGGAATAAACCCCATCTAAACCAGTGCCATCTATTCTTAACCAAACTAACCTAAAAAGGACACCTACGGGAATGAAAACGTCAGAAAGAGTTGCAGGTTCTTTGGTCCTGGCCCTCTGCATGACCGGGCCACGGCTGCAAGTTTAAGACTAGTGACTAGCAAATGCTGCCCCCCTTCCCAATGATCAATGACGCACCTGTTCTTTCTGTGCAAATCCATGTCGTTTCCTGGGCTACGGAAATCCAACCACTAAACACTAAAAGGCTAAAAAGCTAAGGAACCGTATGAACCCTATGCCTGGGAGCCACCAAGCTTCCTGGTGCAAAAAAATGGGCCCAGCCAAAAACTCAGAGCCGCTCCAATGACCGGGGTCTGAGAGCCAAGGCAGCGCCACGCCGCAGGGAAAGAGGCGGTTGGCCACCTGCGCAGGACGGGACGGACTGGACGTGCCTTCGACTTCGGTGCCCCGAATGCCCCAGGGCCTGGCACAGGCCGCCCGTTTGCTGCTGCACCTCCTGGGCCAAAACCGCCGAAACGGACGGTCTCTCAGCCGATGCCGGGGTGAGCATAGGTGCGTTAGGGCAAATTGGATGGGTTTCCCTGGTAGATGATTAAACCACCAGGTACACCAGGGATCGCCATCTATTTTTCTCTACCAAAACAACCAAAAAGGACACCTATGCCTGTGAGATGTTCTTTCTGGCCCAGCGCCGTCGTTGATGATGGATTGTCGATACATCAGATGATCCTGTGGTGGTTTGGCGGATTCTACCAAGGACAGCCAGTTCCTCTTTGATTGACATCGCGAACGCTCACCTAGCAAGGTACAAGCCTAGATCAAACGAGTCACATGACCTGTTTTCCCGTCAATTGAAATGTTTCTGCACGCAGGGAACCTAGCAGGTGGCTGCTACACAGCAAAGCCATGCTCAACACCCCAAAAGAAGGAAATTCAGATTGCAGCAAGTCAGCAGTCACTTCTTTTACGGCCCACATCCACGGCAAATGGAAAGTTTGTCCAGTTTGGCCTATGCACATGCTAGTTTGATGGAAAGTCTGTTTACTTGTGCTATTGTGAAAGGAAAGAGTTCATCAAAATTCGGCTTGAAAGAGTGCACTCGTAGGCCACGCCACACTGAAAAGCCCCCGATCGCATGCTGACGGTCGAATATTTATGTCTAAACCAAATCTTGGACACGATAGCGCCCCCTCTTGAGCAGCCTGAGACAACAGACGCTGCACCAAGACACCTCTCTAGATATTTTGTCCGATAAAACGATTGCTTTTGCTATCTGATTTGCTCATCCGAAAACAATTTGAGACTCTAGATTGTTATATACACTGCCAGGACAAAAACCTGCTGAAAGAACACAACCCTTTCTCCCCAGCCTCCTGCAAGCTTTGCTAGATCATTCGCGCAGTCGAATTTCCTCACCCCAAAGCTTTTAAAGCATGTTAAAATAAAACGCAGGTGGTCCATGTATGAATTGCGCACTTGTTGGGAAGTAACTGCCCATCCAGCACATTGTGATGGATGCTTTCGCCAGCATGGACATGATGGAAGCTGTCCTTTGCAATTTACAATCGCCTATAAGTGGGGCAGCGCTTGCTTTGGGGTACCCAACTGTGCGAGCAGTGCATTATGCGAGGGGTGTTGGGTGACAGGCGGCAAATGACTGACTCTCCACTTGGGCGTGGGGCAGACCATGTTTCGAGTTCAGGCCCGATTGCGTCTTGTGGTTGGCAGCATCCCCAAGTCATCTGGCTAATACCCATGAAGCATCAAAAATAAAACATTTCTGGTACTGTCTGGCACCCTTCGGCAACCCGCAGTGGGGCCGCCTCAAGTCAAGGATTGGCCAAGACAATAGCTATCGCTGCTAGGAAAACAATTCCAGAAAAGGAGCCACGTCCTTTCTGCCTCCCTCTCGTCCCCGTCACCTCCCCCAAGCCCCCCAAACTCCTCGCACAGGCTCTCTGCCTCGTCGTCCGTGAGTCCCACCACCTCAAGAAACAAGCCCAGACCGCTGCGCGGTGGAGGAAACCCATCCCCAAACCTTTCATAACTCAAGTTCCAGTTATGGGTGTTTGCGCCTGCAAGAGTTGTGAGCTCAGGTCAAAAGCAGAATCAACTTTGGAACTCCCAAAAAATGATGCTGTTGGCTCACGGTGCTTTGAGATGATACCATCTCGAAAGAAATCGTGAAACCAGATATGTGCCCGCCGTGTCTGTCCCAGTCGCTGTTTGCGTTGACAACAAGCGCTGTTCCTCTGAACATATTTGGTGGCGGCAGGTCCACTTCGGCCACAATTTGTCTAAAGAAGCAATTGAGTGGTGCATTGGCGCGAAACCTTCCTCGCAAAGCGTCCACGAACCTTCCGCGGCTGCCTTTTTTGTTGATATGTCGACCTCTAGACATTTTGCTTGAGGGGGAAAAAAGAGACGCCACTGAACTGTCGCGGCAGTGTCCGCAATTCAGCCATTCAAGCACTGCTTGCCATGGGAAAGTCTGCCTTGACCAACACGCTTGTCCTGAACTTGATGAAGTGCGAAGTCATGTAAACGCAGCTGACGGATATGCACACATTCCGACTTGGACAGTGATCAACCTCACAATTCTCCCACGCTTTACCCGCAAGCGAGCTGGCAATGTGGCTGTGGCCCAGGCAGAGATCATCTTCTGCGGTTCCTTGTGCTCCTGAAGCGGATGCTCAGGGTTTTTCAAGGGTTCGGCAGCCACAAAAAAATCTGGCCATCTGGCAAAATTGAAACTCAGGATCCCCAGAAAAGTGCAAATTTGGGACTTGATTTACCTAAGGTCGGTCCTTTTGAATCTGTAACTGGTGCCTAGGCACTAGGCCAACAGCGAGGTAGCCTGCCTTGAGCAACAAAGGCACAACTCTTCCATAACGCAGATTCCGCAAGAAGCGACCCGTTGACCAGGCCAAGGTGGACTGTAGTTAGGACTTTTGGGTTTGAAGCATCCAAGCCTGAAGGAAAGCTAGAAGGCACCATGACCCATGTCTAAGCCAACCCGAAACCCGCCTGAAACCAGCCCTTCACCCGCCCTCTACATCTAAAAGGAGCCATGCTACATTCCCTAAACCAATGTCAAAGCATTCTTAATGCAAGTCGAGTTCTGCTCTTGAGCCAACCACCGAAACCAAACCTAGATGCCACCCCCCACCCTGACCCGATCCTTCACCAGCCCAACCCTTAACCAACCCAATCCGATCTGCGCACAATTTGGACTCAAGAGCCCGAAGCTGCCGAGACCTCAGAACTTAGCCTCGCACACGGCAACTGTAGAATCTTGGAAAGTCATATGAATAGACCAGCGAATCTTAGAATGGGATTGGAACCGCTGGAAAGAACGAAATCATTTGTAACCGCTGGAAAGAACTGGCCAGCGGATGGAGTGGGGAGATGGGGTGACTTCTTCCTTCGTCACCCATCATCATCTCCCATTCCTTCCCTTTCATCTCTCTCATTCTTGTTCCACATCCTAAAGTAATTTGTAGATGGATGTGGATATAGACCCATTATTATTTACCTTTCGTATCTGGGATGATTGATGACAGCAAAGATAAAGTGAATGAGATTATGAAAGTAAATAGCTGGTCATGGTTACCTCGTCAACAGGAAGGCCTGCGCCCTCATTCACCTCAAAGCGCGCAGGCCTACGGGCCATTTGCAAAACCTTATGCCACAAAGCAAGCGTGTTGTTCCAGCCTATTCACTTGCGGCCGATGATCCCGTGTTCAGCAGCAAGGCCTTGAGCATGCGTCTTGTGAGGATTCTCCATGTCACCCCACGGAACAAACGGCATAAAGCCAATCTTTCACAAATGGCTTCTATTGCCACAGTTCTTTATGCGGGCTCTTCTACCAGTGGGCCTCTTCTGTCAACCGTTCAGGGAAAGATTCAGATCCAAAATGACAGGGGTCTCCTTCATGAGCAGCACCACATCACTCGCCTTCAGCTCAATGCCCTGCCCTCCCGTCGCTCCTCCACGGCCTTCTTCATCAGCTCGCCCCGTAGCTGGGCGAGCCGCACCCCATCCTGGTGAAGCAAAAGGCCCGAGGCGACGGGGAAACCGCTTTGAGGAGCCCAGCCGGGCCACAATTCGAATCCGAACTGGCAGCTTCGCCTCTTGCTTCCATGGACCTGCAAAATGTGCTTACTGGACCCCTCTGTGCTTTAATCTGGAGGTGTCTTTCATGTCCTGCGGGTCCAGCCCAGTGTGACTTCTAAAAGCAATTACCACGCAGCGGCATTTCCTGTCCTCGCAGGTTTTGGACTGCAGTGTTTCGCAACACTCCGAGACGCCGAGTGAATGGTCTGCTTGCATCGTTAGTCTTCAACGAGAAAAGAATAGTGCTTCATCTCGATAATTTTGATGAGTCGCCACACCAAGCCACTGATGAACCCATAAAAGCTTGAAATTCAGCAAGGCAGCATGCAGAACCATGGAAAACACAAATGGGCACCAAGCTTTAGACCGCCAAGTCAGCCATCCGTCTGGCACCCAACAACTCAGCTGATACACGCTTTGCCCTACAAGGCATTGTTGGCCGGAAAGCAACTCCATCGACTCTTGACCCACCCTCGCCAGTGCCTCAAAGCTGAAGCAGCCTTGCGGTCAAACAGTGAGCCCAAAAAGCAACACAGGGCTGGAAGCAGAGGTTATTGGGTTACTCAGTGCACCCAACAAAATACACTGGCTGACACAGGACTGGCGTCAGCCTAGGGTCGTTGAGGCCCAAAGTCAACAGGGCGCAGCCTCAAAAGCGCCTGCCTGATACCACAATGCACGCCGTGTGTTCCGCTGGAACGAGGGAGCGACGACATCAAGCAATGGAGGGTCAACACCGGGAAGGCGAACCCGGGGGTTCAGTGGCAAGTGGAAGCACCCTGTCTCCCGCCAGCACCGGAGAGAGCCGAACCACCAGAGGCCAACAAGCGGGACCGAGCCCTGCCAGGATAAACGATCACACCGTTCTTGCGAGTGATGCAACTGGTACTGGAAAGGATTTCCTTGCAACAGGAAAGACACGGGCTACGCGAGAATGACTTGTCTGCAAGGATGCCTGGCACTGGGAGCAAGACCTGTTGGCCGCCTCGGAGCTCCTGCCTACACGCCCGAGGGGATCCCTTAGCGCCAGCGAGAAGCGACACACCACACCACACCACACCACACCACACCACACCACACCACACCACACCACACCACACCACACCACACCACACCACACCACACCACACCACACCACACCACACCACACCACACCACACCACACCACACCACACCACACCACACCACACCACACCACACCACACCACACCACACCACACCACACCACACCACACCACACCACACCACACGCACGCACGCACGCACGCACGCACGCACGCACGCACACAAATCATAACATCAGGGACGCTTAATGTCTCCCTCACAGTTGCATCCAACTGCATGTAGATTGAGGAGGGGAAAGCATCCCGTAAGCAATGATTGTCGAATTACTGTCTTTTGAAGCATCCTCCAAGCCATTGGGTCAAAAGCAGCAACACCGCGGCTACTATGTAGACAAATGACACGCTGCTGAGTCTTCTGCATTTCAACATTGCCACATGCTGCCGAATCCTCCTGGTTGACTTGCTACCTAGCTGGGCCCAATTAATGCGTGCCATCAACTCACAGGCTCCAGCTCGATGGTAAATTTTCAAGGGGACGAGTGCGGCCGTGAAGTCTTGGAAGGTTTTCGCACGTTTTCTCGCGCCCCTCCACGCAGGGTCCCCGGCCGGCCGTGCACAGCGCCGCAAGCTCCCCGCAGGACACCCCGGCGGCGGCCGCGGCCTCGCTCCGGTCCTTGCCCTCCTGTCGAGGCACAGGCCCGTCACACGAATTGCCTCGCGGACAGCCGAAGGGAATGGACAAAAGCCAAAACAAAACGCCGGGTCATGCAAAAAATGCTGCAAAATGGCCAGAAATCGAGCAGCAAACCAAAACCACCGCAGTCTTGTCAGGAGGAAACCTTCAAGCGTGATTAGAACGGGTAGTGGCCGTCTTGACGCTACCTCGAACGAGCAAAAGCACTCATCTGCCTCGCTCGCCGAACCTGCTAAAGAATTTGAACAAAAACAGTTAAATGTCAGCACGGCTCTTTTGCATGGAGCCTTGAGACCAGGAGTTGTCTGCCGCAGCAATTGCACAACATAACAACCGCTCAGGCATCAAAAGTGTTTGCAAGGCATGCGGTTTCGAGTTTCGGCACACATGCCACAGTGCCCAAATACTGGTGCAGGCCACTAGTCATATGGATGGCTGTTCTTACCTTCGTTTCGGTCTGTCCGTGGCTCCAAGAGAGTTTTAAGTGGCAGATCATGTTGTCACTGTCGCTCAGCGGTCAGTTGCGGGGCCTGCAACGCGGCAGTTTGCGGAACTTGCCAGGTGTTCTACAAACTCATCCTCTTGCCAACTTGATAATAGTTTACCATGTTTGGCGCCAATTCTGTCTTGAAGCATCAAGATGGTGACAGGCAACCAACTCTACCAAACCGCATTCCCATGTCCTCAGCTTCCCACATAACAGTTTTCTGACTTCACACCATCTACCACAAAACAAGTGAAGTGCGTCTATTTGGTGGTACTGGGTCAACTCGCAACTTACCCAATCCCAGTTGCAGCATACTCCAAAGTCTCCCAGTTATGCTCTGAGATTAGCTTTGAAGAGTTTGTCACAACTCCTCGAAGCGCCACATTGGCGCTACCAAAAGATTCATCACACAAGCGGCGCATCCTTTTTCGGCCTAAGCTCAATTGGGAGACGATTTGGTGGTAGAGCGCCCCTTCACGCTACGCCCCCATGCTCACCCCACCTCTCGGAGGATGACCGCTTCCCCGTCCGACTGGGTATGCTCTCATCAGTATGGGATGGGACAAAGATGCGCCCCTCCAAGTCCTGGTCCAAGCTGATGGAGTGCGCTGGTGGTCCCGGGACCTTGGCGGAGGTGAAGATCAACTGGCGACGCAACGCCCAGAAAATGTGGGCGGGGGCCGTCTCCACCCATTGCTTGGCGTCGCATCGGCAGTTGACCTTCACCTGCGCCAGGTGCACTCCATCAGCTCGGTGTAGACCTCGAACTGCGACAACTGAACAGGGGGCCGTGTCAGAAGGCCTTGGCCCGGCAAACCATCCGCCATTCCGGGCCTGTCTGAGGGGAGTCCCTCCTTGCATGAAGCTGCGAGGGGATGGCGAACGGCCTACCAGAGCTCGTCTCAGGGAGCACATGGCAAGAATGAGGGGGAGAGAGGGAAAATGTCAAATCAAGCAAGAACAGAATGAGTTCCACTTGAGCCAAAATGTTTGCCAAGTGGAATACTTACAAGGAGATAAGACAAGTGCACACCTGCGGCTACACTTTAGCCCAAAAACTGTGAGGCTACCGCCGAGCAGCAATCAATGTCAGCGGCCACGGGATGAAAACAGGCCACGACCACATACCTTACCACACCAGCTCATCTTCAGCGAGGCAAGCATGATATGGGAAAGTTACCCACACCCTTGAACAGTCAACACAGCACCGACTGATATCAAAAAACTTTACCCAAGAGTACCAAACACTCCATCTCTTCAATGCCGGTGCCCTTCTGTCTGTGAAGCACAGCTCCTGGCAAAACCTGGTCTAGACCTCGACCACCTGCAAACATAGACGAGCAGTTCATATGAACCAAATACCTGCGCCTGCAAATATGACGGCAACGCTTGTCAGCAGATCTAGGCAACGCGGCGAGCCTCCCCCCGGACGGTCCTGCCTGCTCCTTGAGCCACTCCAAGCCGCACATGGCGGCCACAAAAACCGCGGGCTGGCAGACCTCCAGCGCGTCCAGCTTCTCCTGCAGCTCTTGTGCCCAGCTGCTCTTCGATAAAGGAAGGAAATGAACCAAACCAAACAGCCAGTCAGCCAACTACCCACCCACCCAGCCATCCATCCATCCAGCCATCCATCCAGCCATCCATCCAGCCATCCATCCTTCCATCCACCAATCTAGACACTCAGCACGCCATCTCCAGGCAGCCAGAGAGTCAGCCAACCAGCCATCCATCCGCACATCTCAACAATGCATACACGTCCTTGCTCAACCCGGCCCGGCATCCTGGCTTTCCGTGCATGTTTGCTGACGGCGCTTGCCAGCAGAGCAAGCCAAAAAGAGCGTGGTCAACCGTTTCGCAGCAACGCTACAGTACAACAAGCATACCAACACATGTAGCAGACTCACCAATGTAAACACGGCAGTCGCATTCGCCGGCCAGAAGGGCATGTCAGCGCGCAAAGCAGTTTTTGCACGGTACCCATTGAACAAGTCGCACACTTCTCATCTCCCAAGGGCTTCGCGGTGAAATGCCTCCAGCTCGAACATCGTCGGGCCAAGCGCTCCAACGCTCGCTTGGGGCAAACACAGGCATCGACGTCGAGTCGCTATCTTCGAACGACTGCACCATCCGTACGCAGCAAAATGCAATCAAAACGCGCTGGGTAGGCACGCGACTTGCTGGCAAATCATTCTGCCCAAAGCCGGAAGCCGCTAACACCTGCCCTAAGTGGGCTCCTAAGTACCGTCTGGCTCAGCCATTCAATTCAACGTTCATAGAAAGCTTCCCTTGACTACAGCTGCAACGCTGGGAGCCGGATTCCAACGAGGGAATGAAAGCCCCACATATTACATATGTTGGTGCCCTCGATTTTGAGACTCATACTATCAGCTGTTTGCACCAGTGCACCCCTGCCTCTGGACCCATCTCCGTGAGGTCGAACAAGTCATAGCCCAAAATCTCCCCGGCCTAGCGTAGCTACTTGCCGACAAACCTCACGCCCCCGCCCTGTAAGGGTGTCTAGCAAGGTACATGCACATGCGTGTGATTCCCCCAAGGTACATGCACATGCTTGTGATTCCCCCCCGACGCGCAACTCTGGCTGCGTCCTATGAGCGGAATTCGTGGAATTCTTTGGCAACCCACGTCGCTACCAAGTCGCTGCCAAGTAGCTACAGATTCCTTTGCACCTCCTATGTTGCATCCGGAGCTGCGAAGGCATAACATGCGCAATGCATCAGACCAGGAACTAGGTACTTCCCTGGCCCCTCTTTGGGTCGCTGGTCACGATGCTTCTACATGAGGGGCCATGGTCATCCTGTTTGCATGCCAGTCCAAAAACAGAAGCAAGGGAAGTCATTGTCACAAAGGACAACTCCCCTTGCAAAGAGCTTGTCCAGGGCTGCAAAAGTAATAGCCACAGTCAATCATGATATCTCTTGCTCTGCTCAAATACGTGCATGTCTCTTGACTCGGCTGCAGTAAGATCAGAAGGGACGCCAACATCACCTTTCCCCTTCCCGCACACAACAGCAAGATAAGGACATGTTAATATGTTGCATGTCGGACTGACATGACAACACTCCCACAGTGCAATGGCAAAATCCCCAGCCGGCAAACACTTGTCAATGCGCGCAAGCTTAACCGGGGGATGACAAGCAACACAGACTGTCCTGATGAATAAAGAAGCATGCCATTAAAAGCCCAAGCAACAAAAGATGTGACGATAAATCACTGACTCAGTCAGACTGCTCAGATCGAGTGAGTCGCAATCAAAACCCAGAAAAAGAATGGTCGACCCAGAACCATGTAGAGAACTAAGGGGGATATCCGCAGCTATTGGTTGGGTTTGTCCCTGGGTGCCGCCGCCAGCCAAAGCCACAGGCCCCGCCTTCTGGATCATGGGCCAGGCGGTCTCGTGACCTCGAAAAAAAGCAGCCGGTCGAGGTCTGACCAATGGGCAAGTGTGAAGTGTGCTCCTCCGAAGTGAACTTGAATTCCACCTCCAAAGGGGCTTGTATCAAAACCCCCCAATCCTTCCCCTATTGCTTTTTTGCCGTTGTCGTTGAGTTCCAGCACCAGGGCCAACTCCGACTTCCACAGAAAGGCGGGGTCCACCGAATAGGAAAAATCGTCCAGCGGCTTCAGGGATGGAAGCGGGGCCCCGAATTTCCGCCCCCCCAACTGCTGCGCTTGAAGTGGCCGCGCCTTCTGCCCAGCCGAGCATCCCCTGTCGCTGGGAGCCTTGACCAGGGAAGAGAAGCCTGCCACGCCAAGCAGATGGGGAGCCAAGTAAAGCAGAGACCATTCTGAAGCCATTTGTTGTAAGCAGAAAGCAAAGAGCAAAATGCTTGACAAAATATAAGAGCTCCGCTTTGTGGGATGGCAAGCGTCGATATTGACCATTCCACAGGTCGATAAGCTTAGGACCCCAAGCAAGACAAGAAGTATCAAGGGCTCTCTAATTTTGAGGTTTGGTCAGGTTGGGTTGAGGTGTTTTTGTTATTCTTATTATTATTTTTTGCTAGCCCCGGCTTTTCACTAGCCCCGGCTCGGCACAAGGCCTCCCTCCAAAGAGGTTGGGCTGGGGGTTGGTGGCCAGCATTACCGGTTTCTTGTCAGGGCGCGTAGTGGGCGTGACTTGATGGTAGTTGACAGTTGCTCGGGCTAGCCAGCCGCATCGCCAGCATTACTGGCCTCACTCGGACGAGAGCTGCCTATTGGCTTATTTGGTGGCAGTTCAGGGTTGATCGGGGCTGGTTTGGGGTGAGTGTTGGGCTTGCTGAGGAATTAATGCGGGCGGGTCTTGGGTTTGTTTGGGGTTCATTTTGCCTTGGCAAAGGGCCGATATGCAGGATGCGGTTGGGAGGGTTTCAGGTTGACTTTGGGTCGGTTTTGGCTTGGTTGGGGCTAGATGTGCGGCTGGTTTAGCCGTGGCTTTTGGGTTGAATCAGGGATGTGGTTCTGCAAGTCTTGGGCTAGAATTGGTGGAAATGCTGGGGATCCTGGAAATGCGGCCGCCCAGCTGACCAACCAACCAACCAACCAACCAGTCTCCGAGCCGGGGTCAAGCCCCGAGCCGGGGCTAGTTTAAAAAAAAAAAAAAAAAAAAAAAGTTCCGTCAGGTTGGTGCTTCCAAAAGGAGCGCTAAACTTGCCAAGCACCACCAAGCCAGCCCTCATAAGAAACCCTCTGTCGGCGCGTGGCAGACCAAACAAGCGGCTGACTGCCTTCCGGCTGGAACTGCGGATGCTGATGAAGCCATGCACGCAAGCAATCTTAAGGCCAAACAAGCGTATTCCAAAGAGCACTGAAGCTGAGTCAATGCAAACCTTGCTGAGTCATGAGAGGTGTTCGTCCAAGCTTGGGGAGAGCTTGAAGGTTCAAGCGCGGGCCAAACGCGCGTCAACTGCTTCATTCGGGCTTCCTCTGTGATGTGCGCGAGGGTCTCCGACTTTGGGCCCCTCAAGTTGTTGGTCAGGTCCACATCAAATTCACCCAGGCAAGGGCCCTCTTCCCGCAACTCCGGCACAGTCGGCTGCATGATTTTACATGCCACACCGAGTTGCTCAACTGAGGAATATGATACTCCTTGTCTTCATGTTGCTGTTAAACTGCTCAAAAATCGATCCCTTGCAGGCACCTCAGCATTGTAAGATAATCATATCATGGAGTAGTCCCATCTGCTGACCTTCAACATAACAATTGCTGGTGATCTATTTCAGCCAGAACTTTCATCTGTTCGTTAGCCCTCAGTAAGGGTTGTTAGGAAGGTTACTCAGAAATCCTTGAAGAAGGTCTCCCGGGAGTTGGGTTGCCATGCTGTTTCTCACGAGGTTCCACATTGTCCTTCTG